CTCTCTCTCTCTCTCTCTCTCTCTCTCTCTCTCTCTCTCTCTCTCTCATCTTCTATCATCTCTCCAGACTCTGTCAGGCTGGTGAATGGGACGAGTCTGTGCTCAGGCAGACTGGAGGTGAAGTCTAACCAGTCTAACCAGTGGTGGTCCTCAGTGTGTGAAGATGACTTTGACCAGCAGGATGCAGAGGTGGTCTGTAGGGAGCTTAGCTGTGGGGCTCCTTCAGTCCTCCAGGGGGCGCTCTATGGAGAAGTGGAGGCTCCAATGTGGACCAAAGAGTTCCAGTGTGGAGGCCATGAGTCTGCTCTCCTGGACTGTAGAAGCTCAGGCTCAGATAGAAACACCTGCTCACCTGGCAAAGCTGTTGGACTCACCTGCTCAGGTAGAAGAGGAGCTGCAGCTTTGATCTGGTTAATTTCTGTTCTACTGAAACTCACTTTGTTCTTTACTGACGACTCTCTTGTTTCTGTTCAGAACCTGTCAGGTTGGTGGGAGGAGCCAGTCGCTGTGCAGGAACACTGGAAGTGAAACGAGGACACTGGAGACCAATAGATCACAGTTACTGGACCCTGAAGGAAGCAGCTGTTGCTGCTCTGAGAGATTGTTTAAGAACAGTTTCTTCTTCCACCATCGTGGATCTCATCTGCTCAGGTAAGCCCATCAGTGACATCATCTATGACATCATTTCTTACAGCAATGTTTCCAGTATGTTCCTTCCTCTGTCACAGTGACAGTCAGTGGGTTTCCATTGGACTGAACTGTAAATTTATCCAGGACAACGACATCCTGACGTGTAGAGAGGTGGGCTTGTTTCTGGAAGCTTCAAACCTCCAGAGACTGCTGAGCTCCACCTGAGAGGACACACCTGTCTCTCTGCCTACCTGCCTTTCTGTCTGTCAGACCTGTGACATCACGTCCTTATTCAGCATCCATCTTGTTCAACGGAGGGTAAACGTGAACTTCCATCATCTGTGTTTACAGACCTGCTGCTTCAGCCAATCATCAGTGTCAAAAACAAAAGTAATAAATTATTTTGCTTAAATCATGAGCCTTTCACTTTATTTTGTAATTAACGAAATTTCCTTTTTCATTAAGATTTTGCTTATTTTTTACTTCATGAATTTACAATATTATGTAATTAAAGATTTTGCTTATTTTTACAACTAAAGATTATTCTTATTAATAATTGTGTTTTAATTGTGTTTTGCTTATTTCATAAGTGTTCTTAATTTTCTAAATGAGGACTTTTAATTTATTTAATAAGAACTTTAATTATTCCTGTATTTAAGTATTTTTATTACTTTTGTGATAAAGGAATTTAATACAAAATATCGTCCTAACTAATCAAACAATGTGAATAAAATATGAACACATACGTAAAACTAAACACACATACTTGTACTGCACAGATGCATGTAGTACTAGTACTACTTTAACAAAGGTTGTTGAACTTGGGTCCAGACGGATCATTTCTCAATGTGGAAAAGACAACATTAAATAACTCAGTGAAGTAATTAAGTGAAAGTAATTTAGTTTAATAAAGAAAAAGCGATTAAGATCGTTTAGTCCTAGATAAAGTAGGATGTAAAGTGGTGAGTAAGTAGATGAAATAAACAGCTTTAAACAATATCGACGGGAAACAATGAAAGTTAAAAATAAAGAAACAATGATTGTGCCTTTAGTTTGAGCTCTGTTGTGTGATTGGTTACTCAAGGTGTCAGTCACACACCTGCAGTAAAGTCCTTATTTGCAGTCACTCCATGTCTGCACTCTTAGTCTGAAGTCAGGTGTGATTAATACTCGACAAGATCAGTTAGATATATTGTTAAGTTTGACAGTCTCTGTGTTTATTAAGAGGGTGGTATATAGATTTAAACCTTGGGGTAGAGCTGAGGATACCGAACCAGTTTGAAGGTAACTTAGGTCTCCTCTGTGGAGTGTTGGGGAGCTAAACATGTAGTCTGTGGTTAGTTCATGTGTCTGTAATAACAGTAGGACAGTCTAGTGTCTGTGGTTAGTTCAGTGTCTGTAATAACAGTAGGACAGCCTAGTGTCTGTGGTTAGTTCAGTGTCTGTAATAACAGTAGGACAGTCTAGTGTCTGTGGTTAGTTCAGTGTCTGTAATAACAGCAGGACAGTCTAGTTTATTATTATTATTATTTATTTTATTGTATTTGTTGTGGCTCAAGGTGGGGTGGCGCCCTAGCGCCCTCTATTGACCAGTCGCCACTAACTTAATGCAGGACTTTTACTAAAGTAAGTTTTTTGAATGCAGGACTTTAACTTTCTGCTTTACACTGTGACATCACTACTAGTACTAGAACTATGATCTGAATAATGCTCCACTGGGTGAGTGGTAATGAGGCCCAGAAGAGAGTTGGACTTCGGTCTGAGTTTGATGGCGATAAAACGGCCAAACCCTACAGCCCAGTAAGAATTTTGTTAAAATACACATCAAATTTCAGTCTGTAAGGCACATTTACCTCAATGAATTTCTGTTAAATTAAGTATTATCAAACTAATAACAAATTCTTAACCATTACATTTACACACAGAGTGGTAGAACCTCAGTTCATCTTTATTTCTTACCTCCTAAAAGGTTAATTTAACAGAACAGTTTAAATTATCTTCTTCAGTACTGGACAGGCAAAGTTTAGCACCTCATTATTATAATAATAATAATAATTATTATAATAATAAATAATAATATAATAATAATAATTATTATTATTTAAAAAAGAAAATGATCTTCAAACTGTGTGGTGCTAAGACTCCTGGGACATGTAGTTATTGAATGTTAAAGCAAGGTGCATCCTGGGAGGAAGAGGGGCGGAAACTACGTCTTCCCGGACGCCATCTTGGTTTTCTTTTCCTTTTTTTATGAAGACCAGCCCCTCTGAATAATCTGCGCAGGTTCGCAGAGGCGTGTTGTTGTTTTTAAAACGACCGAGGTTATGACTGGCGGGAGCGAGTTTCACAAAAGCTACGATAATAACAGCAAGGACTCCGAGCCTACAATGGACGTGGACATGGACTCTAGTCATATGGAAAGTGAGCGGGGTGACTTGGACAGTAGTATCCCGGCTGCGTGCTCCTCCAACGGCAGTGGCGCGGAAGAGGACGAGGCGGAGGCCCTCGGCCGTTTGAGAGAAGCCGGGTGCTCGAGTAGTCACATCCAGGACGGAGGCGGAGTGTTCTGCGGCGGAAGGGAGCAGGAGGTATCGGTGGAAATCGGAGAGACGTATTTATGTCAACGAGCCGACAAGACGTGGCGTGAGTGATGTGATGCTAGTAACCATATATATATTAAATGTATTACATATGTAATTATATTTAACTAAATTCATAGTAACCCTCTTGTTTCTGCCCGTTTCATCCCAATTTCAGTTGTCTTCCCCTCTGTTTTTGGGGAATATATTCACACCAAACTCAATTAACATTTAGAGTAAAGTGTGTTGATTGGTTTGGAAACATGGTGTTAAGACGTAATTCAAGGATTTTAGATTCATTAACTTGTCATTTGGGGCTTTCTGGAAAATTTGGCGTGGCTGATAAAACCATAACAGTGCAATGTTAATTCCAAAAGTTTATATTTCACTGGATTAAATTAGTCTGTGTTACAGTTTGGAGCATTATTAGATTGCCGAACTAAACTATGGCTGAACACCGATCAAGTTCTCTTTTTATTAAGTGAATTAACCATAAGTATGTTGGCTCATAATCAAATAGGTATTTAAATTGTATAAATCTGAATGCAGTCTGGTGAGACGTTCCGTTCCACTGCAAACTACTGAAACGTCTCCTCCTGCTGGATGTCTCCCTCTCTTCAGATACAGCAGAGGTTATTCAGTCCCGGTTGAATGAACAGGAGGGCAGAGAGGAGTTCTATGTTCACTACGTGGGATGTGAGTACATGACTGCTTCTTAATATGTCCATGAATGCAATGCACGTAATACACCCTTACATCTACATCACTCATATATGTCCCTTTTATTTATTTATTTATTTATTTATTTATTGGTTTATTTCATAAGGGACGGTGCACATTAATAAAACATTGCTGTAAATACGCCAAGAGGCTATTTTTCATCTGTAGTCCCAAGAGACAGATGTTACAAAATAAACCTCAAAACAGAATATAAGATTCAATTTACAAAGTTATGGAATATTGACCCTTTACAAAGCGTGCAGAAACAATTAAAGAAGAGAGAATATTAATATACGTAGTATCATCATTCAGGAGATTGAGAAGTACTAACAAGATGTGCAACATCACAATGATAAATAGAAACATGGACTAGAGACAAGATTATGCTGCTTTGTTAGACACTAAATACATATACGTCAGAGGAACAACATAAAAGCATACAGAGTATGTGAAATATATAAGTCAGTCAGACACTAAACAACAATAACAGACATGCAGGTAGATGAGGGTCGACCGACAAATTCCAGACAGACAGGTGGCAGACAGGTGGCAGACAGGTGGCAGACAGGTGGCAGACAGGTGGCAGACAGGTGGCAGACAGGTGGCAGACAGGTGGCAGACAGACAGAGTCCTCAGACAGGCAGGCAGACGACAGGTGACAGCAGACAGACAGACAGACAGCAGACAGATGGAGGGAAGTTGAACACGGACAGATTGAGGACAGTAAGGTGCAGTTCCATTCTCCATCTTTGTTTTGATACCTTCCTTTATTTTTGCCCACACCCTCTTCATCCCCTCCGCCTACAGCTTTAACATGAACCTCCTCTTCTTCTTCTCTTTGGCTTCTTTCAGTCAACAGGCGGCTAGACGAATGGGTGGGCAAGGCCCGCCTGGCACTCACCAAGACGGTGAAAGATGCGGTGAGGAAGAGCACTGAGATGATCGGCAGCGTCGGTGATTTGGGCGAACAGCCCGAGAGGAAGATCACTCGCAACCAGAAGCGCAAACACGACGAGATCAACCACGTACAGAAGGTAGAGCCGGTGTCTTTTACGAGGGTGTTTCATGACACTCGTGTGCATTTTAATATTTCTCTAACTGAGTTTTCCTTTGCAGACATACGCAGAGATGGACCCGACAACAGCTGCCCTGGAGAAGGAGCATGAGGCGGTAAGGTGGACTGTCTGAGTGTGTCTCTGATTAAAGATTGTAAAAGTAGAGAGCAAACATAACTACCTTGTTCTCTCTGTCTGTGTACTGACCTCCCCATCATGTGGTTAAACTAACTGTCTTATGTATTTAAATGCTCATGGTCTCTCCCTCAGATCACCAAAGTAAAATATGTAGATAAGATCCAGATAGGAAACTTTGAGATCGACGCCTGGTACTTCTCTCCGTTTCCTGAAGACTACGGCAAGCAGCCCAAGCTGTGGATCTGCGAGTACTGCCTGAAATACATGAAGTACGAGAAGACCTTCAGACACCACCTGGTCAGTGCTGCCTTCACTTCAGACTGGAGGCAATCCATCACTCTTTTTAATAGTAATTTAGTTTATTTTAAAGTGACAGAGTCCAAGTAATTGCTTGTTTAATATTTTACATTTTGACTCAACTTTTGTGGTCTGATTGTGTAACTCAAATCCTACAGAGTTAATTATTAAGATGAGCAATAGTGAAAACCCTTTGATCTGTGTGTGCTCAGTCTCACTGTCAGTGGAAGCAGCCTTCAGGTAAAGAGATCTACAGAAGAAGCAACATATCGGTGTTTGAAGTGGACGGGCGGGACCACAAGGTGAGTTGACCTGGAACGTCTTTGTCCCGCCTTAATGCCAAATAATATGGATTAATCTGCTGATTCTGTGTTTCTCGTGGAAATATAAAGTTGAACTGCATTTGATTGATTCTGTGAGAGATTGCTGTTCATCGTTGTGATTCATTGTTGGTCTCTGTTTGCAGATCTACTGTCAAAATCTGTGTCTTCTAGCGAAACTCTTTCTGGACCACAAGACGCTCTACTTTGACGTGGAGCCTTTTATCTTCTACATCCTCACTGAAGTCAACAAACAGGGAGCGCACATCGTCGGCTACTTCTCCAAAGTGAGTTTCTGATGTTGATGGATAAATACTTTACTCGTGTTAATACATTTTGGACTCGCTCTCTCGTAAAGGTACAGTGGGGAGGTTTGTCGTAAACACAGACGGTTGTGAAGCATTTCTAAACGTGATTTAAATGTTAATAATAATTTAAACCTGCTTTGGTTCGACCGAATAGTTCAAAGCTTCAGTCATAACGTTGACATCTGTTCCTTGTGTTTAAAGACTATTCAGATAAACATCAGGCTGCACTAATATTATTAGTAATACATTATTGGTAGAAGTAGATTCTAGTGGTGGCTGGTGACATTTATTGGAAAAAGATAGATGTTATCATTTACAACATGATTTTATCTAACAATAAAATTCAGCCTCAAACCGTATTTGTTGTTGTTTAGCTTTCAAAAACAATATTTTCTCTGCGGTTAAACGTTTTTCTCTCCTGCTCACAAAGGGAGGAATCTACATTATGTATTGAGGGTGATGATGATATAAAATAGGATTATTGAAGAACCTCAATAGAAGCTTTGAATGTTCAGCACAGAACTACAACTTGCTTTGATTACATTCATGTATTTCTCTGCATATTTCCCCCAAAACATGTCGATCAGCATTTAAAAACAGGATACCTTTGACTTCTCTTTGCATGTTTTTGTATAAATCATCACCCTTTACATTTGTAAACACGGTCACTGATGCTGCAGTGTTGTCTCTGAACCTTTGAACCTCAATGTTCTCAAACTCTTTGTCTGAACTTCTGCTTCTGTTTTTCAGGAGAAAGAATCTCCAGATGGGAACAACGTGGCGTGTATCCTCACTCTCCCTCCGTACCAACGCAGAGGCTACGGGAAGTTCCTCATTGCTTTTAGTAAGTGTGTGTGTGTGTAACTAAATATATGAATAGGATTTGTTTATAATAATAAGAGCATATACTGCCCAGATTAATAAATAGTCATGACAATTTACCAAAGTCTTTTTTTAATCTTAAATAAATAAATGTAAACTTGTTTGTTACGACCTGTTAGCAGCTAAAAAACACATGAAACAAATAAAGTCATCTCAGCTTTTTTTTTCAAACTAAAATCATTGAATGTTTGTCGAGTAACTTACATTTTTAGTTGTTGACTAACTGCTGATCAACATCTGATTTCCGGTTAATTTACCAATCAACCGCCTGGATGTGAGTCTTTGTGCGTCTCATAGTTCAGTTTGGTTATGATCGGTTCTTGATTCAGTCGATGGGGTTTCTGAAGTGTGTGTGAGATTCCGGAGTTTTCTCCTCGCCGACGATGTTTCGGGTATTTTGTCCGTCCGTCCTCGTGAAGCTCAAACATCCACCGTGGACTCCAGGGTGAACGGGTTACATTTTGGTGGTCAAAGGTCACCGTTTTTGGCCATAACTCAAGAATTCATACTGATGACGATGTCCCACGAACGTCTAACAGGAGAAAATGATTGTGTCGTGGATGTAAACTGCATCTTGATGGTTGGAGGATGCTCACAACTGTGAGGCTGTACTTCTAGTTATATTTAAACATTTGTAGTGTTACTTGACTTTCATATTGCAAACACAGGAATCCCCACTGAGCTCTTGTGTTTCTGCTGTGTGAGCAGGTTATGAGCTCTCTAAGCTGGAGAGTGCAGTCGGCTCTCCAGAGAAGCCGCTCTCTGATCTGGGGAAGCTGAGCTACAGGAGTTACTGGTCCTGGGTCCTGCTAGAGATCCTGAGGGACTTCAGAGGAACGCTGTCCATCAAAGACCTCAGGTAGAGACACACACACACACACACACACTCACACTCACACTCACACGTTCACACACGCTCATATGCCCCCCCTCTTTGTCTCCAGCCAGATGACCAGCATCACGCAGAGTGACATCATCAGCACGCTGCAGTCGCTCAACATGGTGAAATACTGGAAAGGTCAGCATGTGATCTGTGTGACGCCCAAACTGGTGGAGGAGCACCTGAAGAGCGCCCAGTACAAGAAACCGCCGATCACAGGTCAGTCCTCACCTTTCACCTTTCACCTTGCTATTTGTTTTTATTCTCTGGTTGTAATTTAAACAACAAAACCCAAAATTCAACTTTTTTTGGCAGGTAGGACCAGAAAGCTGGAATGATTCATACTGATGATTATTATTATTATTATTGTTATTATTATTATTATTATTATTATTATAGTGCGGAGATAATGACGGTAATTAAGACATCACATGAATATTGGTGTCTGCTTGTCATGTTTTCATTTTATTTAATAGACTCAACAATCACTCAGGTTTCTGCACTATTCTTAGCACATGAAGCCTTTTTGTCACATCTACATATTGAGTATGTTTATATGCACAAAATGTTTTCCCTTATTATTAAAAAGACAATATTCCTACTAAGCTGTACGTGACAAATTGAAATGAATATTCCACTAATATTCCTGTTTGCATGCAGCCAATTGACTCTGATTAATGTAAAGAACGTTCACGTTCCTCCAGCGGTGAAGTCTCGTTAACGTTCTTCAAGCTTTTCTTCTTGCTGTAATAAACGCTGATAGAGATTCATATTGTGAATGCTGCTGTGACCTGAATAATATCAGCACATCACACACGTGCATTTAGAATAACGTCTCGTTCTGAATGTCCAGACACAATATGCTGTTTACACGACCCGTATCAGATTCAGACTGTTCTCATGTTCTGAATCATCGTGAGTTATTAGTGTGCCGTTAAATGTAAATAGTCTAAATTAGGTGCTTCGTTAACAAGTGGAACCAGAAACAAACAAACGGTGTAAAAACACTTTAAGTCTGTTGAGTTGATCTAATTGGTGTTAATTTGGGAAAGTTAATCACGGTCAGAAATGATAACCTCTTGGACTCATGATCCCGGCTCTAAAGCTGACGGGAACATTGTTCACCACAGACGTGAACTCTTTCTCTCTTTGGACCTCAGAAGGCTCCTGCAGCTCTGACGTGTTGTTCAGACCTAGGATCCTACTTCGGGTCCTTGTTCCCTCTGCTTTGAGTCTCTGTGTATCACCTCTCTCCTTTGTGTCGTCTCCTTCACAGTGGACACCATGTGTTTGAAGTGGGCCCCCCCCAAAAAACAAACAAGTCAAGTTGTCCAAGAAGTGAGAGGCGGAGCCACATCTGTTCATCACTCCTCCTGTTTTTGTATCATCTGCTAACTTCCCCTGCTGTTCTGAAACCTCATGTATATAGTCATTAGTAGCATCTGCATCAGTATTTTCTTAAAATATGTTAACAAAAGAACAGCCTTGTGTCCTGATTCCTTCTTTCATGATTATCAACTGCTTCTAAAAGTCTGAAATCTTCTAACATGTTTTAGGCTCTAAATAATAGAAGTATTTAGTGAATAACTAAATATCATAGTTACATGAATAGATACCATATTTATTGGTCTGTTGTTTAATTAGAGTTAAGATGTATACGGAGGATAATCTAACGGTAGGTTTAATGTTTGTTTTTAACACATTTAATCTTTAAACTCAGGATATTGTTGAATTTGATTTCCTCTCTCTGGAGTCCAACAGTAGAAATACTATGGAAGCATAAAAAAAGAAAGAATTCTAATTATTATTTTTTGCTGGTGGGAAAAAAAGTAAAAAAATAATTCACCAGCAAAAAAAAATGTAAATATAATTTTTTGGGCTGTGGAAATGGGTTTCCATAAAGTACACATTTCTGTTGCAGCAGACATGTCTCTCAGGTGTACCTGAAGAGGCTGCGTTCCGTTCCATTCCGTTGTACTTCCAGGCCTCTGACACTGTGCTGCTGCTGCTGACTGATGAAGCTAAATGGAACGCAGCCCTGTGGAGATCTGCTCCTGAGCCTGCTGCTGCAGTGAGGACGGTGTGTCACAGAGGAACAGGATTGTTGGATTGTTCTCTGCAGAAATTCAAAGTAAAGTTTATTCCAAGTGAAGAATGAAGAAATAGAAGTTTGTACAGCTGTTATTTCTAACCAACCTGTGATGAGGGATGCTGCGCCTCCATTGTTGGGATCATGTGGAGTTCTGCAGCAGGTGAGCTTTACAGAGTAAGTGTGAGTTGATGGCGTTTTGTTCCTGTTCTTCAGTAGCTGTAGCTTTGGACAGCTTGTTGGCATCAAAAAAAACGATTCAGCTCTGAAATGTTCTTGACTCATGTTACATGTGCGGTCTTATCCTAAATCTAGAGGAATTCAGGAGACTCATGTATAAACTCACAGCTTCATATTGTTCGTTTTTTTTTAGGGGGGGGGTTCCCCAAAATAAAATAAAAGAAATATAACTGCCAGTCAATACAACTCTAGGTTTTATGCATAAATGGTGTCAAGGCAACTCTGACCTATGAATGATGTTCTGATGTAACGATGCTAATGACCGCCAGAGGGCAGCAGTGCTCTGAATCTGACCACTGATCAGTTCTCTCTTGAGCAGCTACTTTCTCCTCAAAAGACGTCATCTTAAAATACCTTTCATCAGTGATCTGTGAGCTATACTTCTTGTTTTTATTAATTGATGTTCTACTTTATTCCCCAGATAGAGAACAACTAAATACTGTAGAGGCAGAAACTCTACTTTTGAATTTGGCAAAATAATCATTTATTTTTAAAGCAGTTTTGGAAGCGATCTATCGAACCATCAAACAAAGATGTGCTGATGCAGAGTATAATACCTAGGACCAATATCACATATGATACACTAGCAGCAGCATTTCAACAGTAAACCTTAACCTTTTAGTGACGACAGCCCCCGAGCCCTATTTTTAGGCCTCTGCTCGAAAATTGCATACCCATACTCAAGAGAGTCCAGAGCTCTAACTACAAGGTCTATTTTAATAATTTTGATGGTATAATACAGGTAACACTTGTGAGAGACTTATTCAGATGTCTAAATATTGTGTATATGTTACTGGTTAAGTTGTTCACGTGCCTCTCCATGATGTACTGAGAGTTTCCCCATATGTCTGACCCCGTCTCCCAAAATGCGTTTCTAAAATCTCTCCTCCACCATCTGACCGCTGCCATTTGTGCATTGTGTGTGTCCATCATGACTGCTCTCGTCATTTTCCCCTTTGATTGGCCTTCACACAATGTAATCAGCGTTGCAGCTGTCTGAAAAGGCCTTTTGTGCAGTAGCTGAGCAATGCCGATCACCCTGACGCGTCCACAACTTTGCTTTTAGTTCCATTTAGGCGCTGTGACAAACGGCAAACTGCCTGGTGAGCATGTGTCAAGCCACTTGATTTAGTGCTTTGTTTGACTGCACTGGCCCTTTTCTGAATGTCGCCTCCGTTTTGTATGGCCTCACTGTGTTGGTAAAAATTGCCATGGCCGTAAGCTTGAAATTTGAATGTACAGACAGACGGAAAGAATTGTCCCACTGTATGTGTGGGTCATTTGATGTACTTCCAAATACACAAAAGCTGACTTATTCCCTAATTTTCTGTTATATGAATAAAATGATGGAGTGAAAAATCAATCAAGATCATCTTCGGGTCTAACTGCACAAATTCAGTCGGCTCTCTAATGCCGAGGCATAACACAGAAAAATACTCGAGGACAAACATATTTTGCATTTCGTAATGTGAAATAAAGATCCAAGCCAAGTAAGTTTCAGGGAAGTGCCATGTGGTTTGAGTTATATTGTTAGCAAGTGGTGCTTTTAACTAGGTATAACTCTGTGTACTGGATCCCTAAACTGTAGCCAATCCATTAAGACAAAGCTCTCTTGATCCCTTTCTTTAAATCCTCCACCGTGGCTGATTAAATGTAGCCGATTTTCACGCCTGTGCCGTGGAGGCCGCGAGGCCTGAATGGCTCCTCACAGCACGACCACGGTGTGCTGTCACTCCAACAGCGTGAGGAGGAAGGAGAGGATAACCAGCAGGCTGAACAGTAAAGGCACATGTTTTAAGATCCTGGTTAGACCTTGATACTCCTGATTGATACATTGACTGTATGCAGACTGTCTTTGGCACGGACAACATGTCACATGTGATCTCTAGATTTTCCTTTTCTGCTCAGCATTCACGCAAACGCACTCTTTGCAAAGTTTCTCCCCAAAGAAAAAATCAAGTCATGCCAAAATGTGATTTGTTTTCCGTGCACTTTATTAAGCAGACACCATCAAAGCAGCGAGAGAGCTGAACAGAAAAGTAGGCAAGGCAATAAATGACAACACTGCTGGACCGTAATGATATAACATTGACTTAATTGGCTATCAGAAACACAAAGTTAGCTAACTTAACACATAAAACACATAAATTCTAAATTCTTACAAATACGTTAAACATACTTTGTTGCCATTTTCGACTGGTGCTCAAGTTACTCTCCCCCGCCTTCAGGCTTATTTATTAGGCTGCTTATTTCCGTAAGCTCTGTCTGTTACCGAGCTGTTTAAATTAGTCCAATACCGGTTTATGACCAACTGCCAAACTGACATTCCCCTCAGTCTCAGCTGTAGTGCTAGTAAATGTTAGCATGCTGCCACGCTAAACTAGCATGGTGAACATGGTAATCATTATACTTGCTTAACATCAGCATGCAAACATCGTCATGTGAGCATGTTAGCATGCGTGAGATAGCTTTTCTACTTTTCTGTTTTCAGTGTTAAACTGAAGACATATTTAGTTTTTTGTACAGTTTAAATGTCTGAATCTATGCTGAATGTGTTTTCCTTTAAAGACCTTTTATTGCTTTCTAAAGAACATCACGTGACTGTCCTCATGTCTTGTCTCCATCGTAGGAGGACGGAGCCGCTGAAAGGTGACTGAAGAGCCATTACCAGGTGAGTCACAAACACCTCCCCTCATCTCTGAAGCTGCTGGCTCAGCGCTGTGGTCGACGTGTATCTGAAACCCTTCTGTGTTAAACTACTAAACATTATGGAGGCTAATGTTCACCTGAATAATGAGGAATCATTAAAATAACTGTGTTTGTCAGCTATTTATGACACAACGAGCTAAGAACATGAAACTCAGATTAATGTTCACACCAGGACATGTTGAGAGTGAATACTTGATAAAGTAGTTCCTCTTACATCCTCTGTTTGTTTGAGGAGTCGGTCACATCTCGCTGACGGCAGCAAACTCTGCTTCCTCACATAAGAATGAGCTTCGTCCCTCCGGCTGCGTGTCGTCCATCATTCTGTATTTATCATCATCGGCAATAAACCCCATAAAAAAGACCAAAAGCAACAATGTTGGTGAATCTCTCAATACTTTATGACCACAGGCTCCTACTAGAGATCTCTAGATAACATGGAGATGGGGACTTTGTTTGGGACTATTTTCAGCAGCGGATTAATCCACATTTGGTGTTTTAGTGTTTGTTTGTATGAGAGAGTCAGAATAAAGTAGTTTGTGTTGGTGGTGATGAAGAAGAGTGAAGCTCACTGATGAGTTTGCTGCGAGCTCAGCAGGCTCTGATTCACACTCTTTGTTGCTTTTGGTCTTTTTTGGTGATAATTGGAAAATCCTGGAATGTCATCAGTAATATTGTTCAGAAAACCTTTGAGCTGAAGTTGAGCTGCGTCTCTTCTAATGGCGTCTATGCTGCTTCAAGATAACGGTGTTTGTACTGAAGGGCTCTCTCTGCCTCAATGGTCACAGCAACTCAAAACACACTTTTAAAATCCCTTTCATGATTTCACTGCAGCCGTATTATTATAAAATGTAAGATCTAAATACCTCAAACAACGATGTCAATCTGACAAACTGTAAGTTGCTTACAGAAAAAAAGTATTAAAATCTTAAAGTTCTTTCTCAAAATAAAGTATTAATAAAAATATATTTAGAGTATTTAAAGTAGAAGTACTTGTACATTACTGGATTATTTTTACTGATGCCTCAACGCATGAGAATACACATTCTGTTGGAGGTATAACTGACTTTCAAAGTTCAACATGAGTCAAAGTATAAATAAAGCAGCTCAACGTGAAGGAAAACGCTGAGAACCTTAAAAATGTACTTTCCCACAGTTTCTCAGGAACTCAGAATTTGTACCTGATTTTTATTGGCGGCCCCTGAACGCCTCACGCTACCTGCTCATACATGAGAGTGAAATAAACTGGACGGGCACAACATTAAGGAGATTCAGGTTTATTTTCAAAAATTGTACTTCAAAACCGCTACGGTCATTAATAAGGCATTCACAACAATTCATTTTTTTTGTGGTTATTGGACATTTAAAACAGCTTGTGATGGTTTCAGAGAGGATTTCCTAAAACAGAAGTACAGCTAAGGCACAGCACTACTCCCACAGAGAGAGAGAATGACAGACAGACAGACAATCAATCAATAAAGAACAGGTTGGTACTGGATATGAAAGAAACGTCATTAGAGTGTGAGGCCAGAATATGAAAAGGACAAACCTCTCAGCTGGAGTTGTCCTCCAGAATCTGAAGACTTTATCTATATTGTCACATCAGCAAAATGTCTAAAAAGCTGCTTTAAAATCATCACATCTGAGTCCAAAGAGCCGACCTTTCTTTCTCTTTTACTTCAAAGCAAAATGAGAAAGATTTTCTTTAAAAACTAAAACATGTATCGACTCATACAAAACTACTTCCTGTTGCCATCGAGCCGTTTAAAAGGGTATTAAACTAAATACTGGGTTCACATCGACTCTCAAATACAAATGGCTGTTAATATTCAACTCAATTTAAAACAGGAACAGAAATAAAAACTCATTTTCTAAATTTATTTTGAACGTTTAATTCTATTATGCAAACTTTAAACCAAATGATTGTTGGATTACATTGTAACTATATTATTACATTTCTGTACCTGGTCAGAGTTTAACTGTTTGACTTCAACAAAATGACTTCATTTCCATTTGTTTGAATTACAGCAAAGAAACCAAAAAAGAATTTTAGATTTCCATGTCTTCTTTAAAGCTGACATACGCCTAATACCACATATCAAAATAAGAGCTCGCCATATTTTATCTGAGCATTTAGTTCATAATGCAAGAAGAACTTACAGGCTCACTGTTTTATACGGTGGATTTAGCAATTTATTGATATTTTAGTTTTGTTTGGACATGAAATCAAACGGTTAAAACGCACGTTGACTGAACCTCTTGTGTTGGCTTGACTCTAAACGTGGTGGCAGTAAGCTACTGATGCTCTCTGCATCTTAGGGTTGGTGCAGTTTATTAGAGAATGGCTCTTCGGGGTTAAACCCACCGACACCTGTGCTTATCCACAACTCAAACATCTGCAACATTTCAAATAATAAGTTAGATATCGACTCAATCTTCTCTAGAATAAATATGACGCACCCTTCAGACATGAAGTGGAGTTGTCGTTGTGAATTAACAGAATTGTTTCTGTTCAGTTTCTCACTGAAACTCTGTGTGAGTGAATCAACGTGCTACCTCATGAAAACATCAGCGCTTGTTGTTCCCATGAGGCTCTGGTGCGTCAGCGCTCATAAAGCACACAGTGTGACCTTCATCCTCACTGCTGCACAGACCGGCTCTGATGTGTGATGTGTTGGCACGATGTCCGTCTCTGAGCAGCACGGAGGTCTGAAGGTGTCGGTGGCCTCGTCTCCTCACCGGCTACGTCCAGACTCAACCCACAGGAAAGTACTGTTAGTACGGAAGAACATCCGGCAAATATGTATGATCAGATTATTATTATTCTCTACATTTTTTTAACATTTTGAAATTTGTATTCCTGAAATAGTTTGTTGCTCAGTGTCACAATAGATTCATTTACAGCTAATTTAAATAATAATCAACTTATTTGATGTTTTTAAAACTTCTTAAATACAAAGATTTGCTGCTTTTATTTAGATTCATATCATAAATTAAACCTTTTGGGTCCCATCGGTGCTCAGACATAAACTGTACATTATGGATTTGTACGGACTAACTTGTGCTCTGCTGACTGCTGACGGACTTTAGATTTTATATTTGACATCTTGCAGGTTAAACGATTAATAAAAAAACAATTAAGAGATTAATTGATAAACAATATCGTAACCGTTACTGACAGCCCCACAGATGTCCAGTTGAAACATCCAGAAATAAAGAGTTTGAAATGAGAGCAGTGAGGAGAAGAGGCCGGTTAAAAACCCCAAACTGACGACATGAACACTTGAAAGCCTTTTAGAAACAAAGGCAGACGACAAGAGTCACTCGCTGCAAACATCAGCATATCAAATGTTAGTCACTGACTAACAAAAGACAATGTTTTATATAAACCTCTGAATAAATGAGTCTCTGACACAGTCACACATGTTTCTACAGCAAAGAGCAGATTAAAGTGAGTAAAGAGGATCTGCTGCGGGTCTCAGGCGGTCTCACGTATTCAGACACAAAGAAACTAAACACCTGAACACAGAGCCGCTCGGTGTCAGAGGAGGAAACCTGCAGCGCGTCGTCTCTGAGTGGTGCAAAGTAACTGAGTACTTTTACTCAAGTATTCTAAAGTAAACAGACTTCTTTGCATCTATAGTTACTGTTACTTCTCATATTTTACATAGAAATACAGCAGCAGATTATAAAATATGACTCATCTTTATAGATTCCAACTTATATAAAGTAGTTTAAATGATCATTAACCTGCTGCTTCCACCAATAATAAACTAATATTATATCAAGACACAACTTATCAACTTAATGTAAGATGTGAAAGCAGAACTTGTTCATGTTGTTCCTACGTTTACTTCAGTAAAAGATCTCAGTACTTGTACCACCGCTGGTAGTTGTCAGTGTTCTCGGAGACGTACAGTATCTCAGTACTTTTTAAACATTCCAGGCAATCAAAATCCTCTCAATGGTTAAAACACAAATGTGAACTGTGGCTTTAAAGATCCGACAAGAGACCAACCGGCTTAAAGAAAAATATATTTTACGCACAAATCATCAATTTGAGGGAACAATATTCCCCCCGACACCGACCTGGCTCCGCTTGAGAACGTCTGGAGTTGCTAATCATCATCTCTGGATCACAGCTCTCATCATCTCAAGAAACCTAAAAGTCTTTCAGGCCGTTATCCCGAGATTTAAATACGCCGTTATCTCATCGGCTGCTGTATTCATGGTGCAGTTCGTTCCTCTCAGCCTTCACACAGATAATAGTTCTGTCTTCAAGAAATACTTTTAGAGGAATTCTTTTTGAATTTTATTTTTATCAGTGTTTCTTTCCTAGGAAGTTGACTTTAATGATTTCAACCTTTGAGTTGAACTGTAAGCTCGGGATAACGGTCTGAAATAGACTTTTAAAAAACATAATAATATAAAGCCTCGGTCAAAGAATGAGCAACCACGTCCTTCAGCATTCAGGCATGTAAAACACACTTCCATACCTTAACTTAGGGACACACTCACAACAAGAGGTACAGAGTTCTTCTGACACACACACACACACACACACACACACACACACACACACACACACACACACACAGCGTTGTTGTCCCAATCATCCTTGAGAGCAGCCGGCTGAATGGGGACTGAGATGCTGTTCCTCAGCGTTTGAGTTTGTTCTTCGTCCGTCTCTGCCTCCAAAGTCTGATTCATCCTTTCACTCTGACGTTGCACAAACTTTAAATAAATAAATATGAGACACAAACAGGACACCAGCCCCATGCCTTCCTTCATTTGTTCCTCTTGTCCCTCTCTCAGTCCGCCTGCTACCTGATCCGTCCGTCCTTTCTGGGCGGGGTCAGTTCAGACTTGGTGTCGGGGCTGGCAGAGCTCCAGACGGTGTGACGGCAGCGCTGCATGACGGGACAGACGCTGGGCCCCATCGAGCAGACGTCCGCGGCCGACCAGTGGCCCTCCAGCAGCCGGTCCAGCCAGCGGCGCAGTGGCGCCCCCGTCAGGCCGGCGTTGGCCTCGGCCTCCTCCACGGCGCCCAAGCTCACCGGCAACCGCAGCACCGGGTTCAGGCCGTGGAAACTCTGCTCCATGTAGGAGTTTCTGGGTGGGCCGGCGTGCAACCGCAGAGCTTCCTCTGGATCCCCGGACCGGAGAGGGGGAGGAGAAGGGAGGTGGGGGAGGAGGAGAACGGAGGTGGGGGAGGGGAAAGAAGAATGGTGAAAAAGGAGGATCCACCACTTTCTAACCATTGACCAAACAAAAGCCTTTGCATAACCTTTGAGTCAGGGTTCATGTTAAGCATCCAATAAGCCCTCCTAGCCCCAGCACCATGTGTTACCTCACAACAACCCGGTCACATAGACGTCTCAGTGCAAACCGTAGGCTTAAATATAACAAACCCATTATCACAGACGGTGGAAACGCTGGACGCAAACGTTATTGAAATACAGTTACGTCATGTGTTCTTTCCTCCAGATGGTTTAAAGTGTCTTCTGAGGATTCAGAAATCATCAGCGGGAACTGAAGTGTGTTTTCAAAGACTACATGTACTGCAGGAGGTGAACATCAGGCTCCAGTTCCAGACGCATGAACAAACACGATGTCACAAACAAACACTCCGATGACATCACCTCACATGCCACCTTCACTTTGTAACACCAGCCAATAAAAGCTCACCGTCTATTCATGTAGCAGCTTTACTGAGAGCTCTGCAGCGATCAACGGTCACACAAATCAGACAGATAGAGGTGACCCTGTGTGTGTGTGTGTGTGTGTGTGTACACTGACACTATAAATATATGTATGCATGGTGATGACAGCTGTGAAAGGAGGGCCTCTGCTGTGTGTGTGTGTGTGTGTGTGTGTGTGTATTGACATACAAACTACAGTGACTTCTCTTAAGCTCTTGAATATGATTTCAACACGTGTTTCCATGAGTTCCATGAGTTTCTGCAGGTTGATACTCAAATTACTAACCATTCAAACTAAATATTAGTAATATGGAAGCAGTAGTTTACATCTCACTCCACAAACGATGCTGTTTTTTTGTCAAAATACTTTCTGAATTAGTTTTCCTACTAACCTGCAGGTACAGACTCCTTACATGTTGGTTAAATGTGTATCTGACAGGTGGAAGCTACTAGATTTGGTCCACGAGCTACTTGATCCAAATATACGTGTAACTGGGAGAATCGGTGTATTTTGCCGACCCGGGTGTCAGAACATCTTACAGTCACACATCCATTAAAATGTTTAATATTATATATTTAAATGTTAAATATTCAAATCCAGTTCTTTCCTGCCTGAACCTTATTTCTCTTCCCGTGTGCATGTAAACACAGTGGTGACGTTGGGATCACTCACCTTGCGGTACAGGCTGTTGTCGGTGGAACTCGAGCGGAGCCACGATGAAGGTGGTCTGACCCACTGGGTTCCAGTGGTGCAGCACCCTCAGCGTCCACAACCCCGGCCTCAACGGCGGGCTGAGCGGGGGCCGATAGTGGGTGACCTCAGCGGAGGCGTCCACCAGGATGTCGTAGGTGGCGGCGATTACGTTGGTGGGGTCGATCCACACCACAGTGGCCGTCAGGTTGCTCTGGCTTCGGCTCCAGCGCTGTACGGCCACCGGCTCGTCCGTGGGCCCCAGCAGACCCCCCCGGTTCCTGAAGAGACGCTCCTTTGGATCCCAGTCCGCCCCAACCTGAAGAACAGAGAGAGTGTCAGGATCCCTCTGCTGGGACTGATCGTCAGAATGCAGCTTAGGGTAATCTAGCAATGGTTGGGTGATTTAAGAATTCATCTAAGGTTTTACTCATCACTCCACAGTCTGGCTTCAGTTAGATTTGTGGGTTTTTGTAGCCATGCCTAACTCACCCTCGAATCCTGCAGCAAAGCTAACAGAGCTAACAAAGCTAACAGTCCCAGTTCATACGTAATACTAGAGGCTAATGGTAATGGACTGACACTAAATTGCTTTTCATAATAGTTCATATGAATACATGTGTGTGTGTGGGTCTGACCTGGACATGCTGCAGCCTGTTGGTGGGGTGGGGGGGGCTGGCCGGGGTGAAGTGGTCTTTGGGTGTCACCCAGGTCTCCAGGCTCTCCGATTGGGTGGAAGCTTGGTTAGTGGCAACATGACGCACGAGGTAGCCCTGGAACTGGTCTGAGAGGAAGTAAAGGTGGACGGACACTGGGTGGTTCATGGCCGTGAACCTGAGAGAGACAAATAGAAGATGTACTGAGACCGTCTGTGATAAAGTCCTGTCTGTTCTTTACATCAACACACAGTTAATATTATTGCTAACATGGTAAACATTAAACCTGATAAACTTCACCATGACTTTATTCAACGTACTATGACTTTTATATTGTTCGACGTACTATATATAACGTTACGTTTTTCACTTATTTGTTGACACTTTTACTATACAATGACTTTCTCAGTTACATTTTTTAAATACTATATCATGCCTTTTTTATGAGATTTTTCGACACACTATACTATGACTTTTTATGACATGTTTAGACTTTCTGTACACTATGAATTTCTTTCGACATACTATGACTATAACTATTTTTCTATTTATGAATAGAGCAAAAGCAGGAACAGATACAAACTCCATACAAATATATTGCTTACTAGTTGTTAGTAACACACAATTTTCCAAAGTAAAAGAGGATGCTGAAATGTTACTTTATAGTTTAAGTGTCATCCAAAATATGCAAGGAAAGAAAGTACTGATGTGGACGGAACCACGTTCCAAATGTATCCATATTAGGTGTGTATGTGGTCTGAGATGTTGCTCAACTGAAATCACAGGTTGAAGCGAACAGACGAGTCCTGTTCAACCCCCCCTCCACCCCTTAACACACACCACCCATAATGATGCCCCCACCCAGTTTAGCCACCAATCCCCACCCGAACTCCAAGCACAAGTACCTCCTTGTACCTTCTGTGGTCAACCCCCCCCCCCCTTCCAGACACACACACACACACACACACACACACCTACCTACATTGCTGGAAAAATCCAGTCTGAGCAGACACTGTAGCCTGATTGTACCCCAGGACAAGCTGGCGTTATCTTGATATTTCATTTGGACTCATAAACACAAACACGAGTGGAAAGACACATTTCATCGGCCAGTTCTTGCTCCCATCACCCAGTGATTGTGCAGTTTCTCTCTCAGCCTAAATCCACTAACCCCAATGACTAAACTACTCATACGAAGCCCCCTAACACACTCAGGACGGGTGGGGACTGTACATGAGGTTGATATAGACTTTTAACAGAAACAATTCTAGCAAAGACTTTTCTTCTAATGCCTGTAGTTTTCTGCATTTGGTCCAAACCAAGGTCCTGTTCACACTGACTCACTGCAAACAAAACAAGAGCTGCAAATATAGAGTCCCAAGGACAGACAGGTAACTCACCCATTGGACAGTTTCGGTGACGGTCATCATCAACATGGGATGATTTGCATAAATATACATACAGCTTTTACATTTCACATAAAATGTTCTTTTCTTGACACTTCACAATCAGTAACAGTTCATTATCTTTTGAATTTGTCCTCATATCAAATATCTATCATCACTAAATCTAAATATCAAACAAACTGCACCAGAAATCACTTGGAACCGAACCAACGGTCTAGTTAATTGGTCCACAACAAAGTTTGATTGACAGCTGGTAAACCAACCAAAACGATCCAAACCAAACTGGCAAACACACGAGTGTTTGAAATAAAAATCAAACCGTTTCAGCGTTACGGCGTAATGTCTCCGACTTCCATCTTTCATGTTGGGAGAGTCAACTTATTTTAGAATTGAGACGACATATAAAGCAAAGATCAAAAGTGTCTTATGCACTTGTGTAAACTGAAATTAAGTTGTGCACCCTATACACAAACTCCTGGAACACCCCACAAACCCCCGAAACTCATTGAGAACCCCTTGAATGCCTCCAAGCATCTCTTCATTACTTAAGAACCTCTTGAACCATCATGAAGAACTCTTGCAGACAGTCTACAAACTCCTGGAGCCCCTTAAAAACCACTAGAGCTCCTTCACAAACCCCTGGAACCACATTAAGAACCCCCTTCATCTTTTCAATAATGCTTCTAAGACCTTTTAGACTCCGTAAAGATCTTCTGGAACTCCCTCAGTTCTACTGGGAGAACTAGATATAGTATGGTACATAACCGGCTCACCCACTTGACTGACTGCAAGGCTGACTCTGCCACACCACATCCAGCTCTCAATAAACCCACATCTGGATGTTTTTACCTGCAGCTGTTGTCATTGGGATGACCCTGCAGCGAGCTGGCGGCGCGCGACAGTCCCATCCGGGCGAAGGCGTGGTGGTGGCTTAGCTTGGAGTCTGATAGGCTGGCGAGGCCGTCCGTCTCCTGCTCATAGATGTTTTCCCAGTAGGTGTGGAGGCCCGGAGTGCCCAAGGCGTACGATCCAAACAGGTAGGAGTCCAGCTGGTTGATGATCTCCTGGCTGACGCTGGCCTCAAACTTCCTGGCAAAGAAGGTGGGTCTGGATGCTTGCTGTGGTCAGGAAAACAGAGAGCAGTGGAAGGGTGATTATAGCAAGAACAACTTTGACTTTCAATAAAGAAAGTTAAATGAAGACATAGAGAAGACAATATTTAAAACAAGCAGAAGTAAGTGCATAACCCACAAAGGAAAAGTCAAGAAAAAATGTGACATTCAAATCACTACATTCGTTGGAATGGGAGTGAGAAATAAAACTCCTGCTACACATTAACATGAGCGGCAACACTGGCAGCATTGCTCTATGTTGTAGTGGCTGTAAAACCACTGAGTTACAGTTTATATAAAACAAATAGTAAACATGTAAAGTAAATCTCCAGCATCCACTTATGCCAGTTTAAAAGTTTCACTTCAAAACCTAAATTATAAACAGTGTTTACAGGTTAGTAAGATCCAACAGTTCGTTTCAGTGCGACTACATGAACTGCACAATAAGACATTTTATTTACTATTAAGGAAAACTGGTGTCCAGTCAGATGTGTAAGAGGACTACTCTGTACTCTGAATGGTCTCAGATGCTTTGTATCATCTTGTAGAAAGTCTCTTTACTAATAGATTGTATTAAGTTTAGTCGATGGAGAACAATGTACAATGGTTCAACCAGACTGACAAGAGAAAGAGACAACGATCCCGAACAGTTGAACAAAAAGAGAATAAATCATCAGTCATTGGTAAAGGAAACCGGAAGCTGAGATTTAAACCGGAACAGCTTCCTGTTTCAGTTTCAACTGTTTCACAATAAAAGCAGCCTAGAACGAGCTGGAATCAACAAGCAACGTGTTGCTTTAGCAAAGCTCTTCTTCAAACTTCACAATAGAAATAGATCAGTCTAGGGTTAGCACTACTGGAATATCAGCTGAACAAATCACAGTTTAAATCTCTTCAATCCAACCACTGAGTAGACTGCAGAGGGCCCAGATAATAACAGATAATAACAGATTAGCCCAGTTGACCTTTGGCTAAGCCCCGCCCACCGCTGCTACTCCATCACGCTGTCAGAGCTATACGTTACCATGGAGCCCACACTGTCACTAACTGCACTCCCCGAAGAACAATTATTACAATTTTGGAAAAACCCAAAAATGATTTCAGGGAGAAGCAGACAGAAAGGTCTACAACATGTGTTTGAACTGAACTAACTGATTCAAAAGATAAAGATAGAGGCTAAAGCTACAGATTAAGGAGTAAACGTGAACCACATGTCACCTGGAGATCGAGAGAGAAGTTAATGAATAATGAATGGAAGGACTTTATTCACTATTACAATCATTAAAAAGCAGAAGCAGCATGTGTGTACATTCAGTATACCTTCAGTAGCTAGCGTAGCATAGAAGTGCTAGATAATGATGTGCTAACGTACTCTGCTAATGTTAGCTGCACAGGTTTTTATGTAGAAACGTAACGTTTTAGAAACATAGATCTCCTTCCAACCTCTCCGGGTAACGAGCATCACTATTACACAACGTTTAACCACGACGAGCTCATAATCCACTAAACCAGCCTGAAGATGAAGAACTTCTGAAACAGCTGGTGAGAGTCTGCGGAGCAGAGCCGGCTAGCTGTCAGATCCTGGTCGGAGCTGGACGATGCTACACTGTGATTGGACGAGCAAAGGTCGTGTGTCACGGACACTTCTCTGGACTGGAAGACAAACTCAACCAAGTTCTCCCTGTGATGCACTAAAAGGATGTTTGAATAGCGCCATTCTTCTTCATTTGTTATTTCAAATGTCAATAATGTGGGCTGTCCTCGAACTAATACATTCTTAGACGGCTAATCGATTTAATCAACTCTGTAACACTGAGCTTCTCCACCAAAAACAAATCTTGGAAATAAGTTGGATTGAAAAAGCATTAAAAAAAGAAGACTAAAGAAATCTTAATTGAATAAGACCAACACTTTAGTTGACTAATAGACTAAGAGAGGTAGCCCTGTAAATAGTCTCTGCTAGAATAGTTATTATTGAAGAAAAGCATCTATAGAACAGCTGACACACCCTTTTTTAAACGGTAGTATATGTTAACTTAAAGTCAAAGGCTCAAAGACACAGATGGAAAAAGACTAAATATATCCGAGAACCTTGGAAAACCGAGTTAACTCACAGACACACACTTTGTCATGTGGCCTGGTCTGGAGAGAGGACGGGCGTGGTCTATGATGTCATCGGGAGGGTGTGACCTCATCAGACCGGCTCCCGGTGGGCCCCGGCTGAAACCAGGAAACCCCAAACCTAAAGAGAGCCATGCGGACTCGGCAGTTTTATCCGTGAGGTTATTCTGGGGCTGTTACCTAACGATGTCCTTACACGGCTAAAGACAACAGTGGAAAGCACTAGTTACAGGGTCAGGAGGGATTTCTGTTCCTTCATCAGGAAATGGTATAAAAGTCCTTTTACTGTATGTTCTGTGCTCTCCCTGAAGGAGGTCATGCCAATATGATTCAAGCAGCTGCTCTCTGGTTGGAGCTGTTCAGCTTTATTTAATCCAGATGAAACAGCTGTTTAACTTGTGTCCATGCTGCTGTGGATCTTACTTTATTTTCTTATTTACACTAGAGCTATAGCAACTATTTTCATTATCGATTCATTTTTCAAACTATTTCGTTTATAGATATGAGACAGAGAAGCAGGGACATATGTGTAAATATGAATTGGATGGATGAGTTTTTAAAGGCTTATTAATAATAATATTAGCGCCGTTACTACTGCAACAATAATTTAGATTACTGATTCATCTTTAAATTATTTCCATTATGGATACAACTTGTTTTATCTGATCAAATAGTCCAAAACCCCAAAATTCAATATGAGACACAGACAAGCAGGGAAAAGTTTATTATCATGTGTTTGACGGATGAAGTTTTAAAAGTTATAAAATAATAATATTAGCTCTGTAACTACTGCAACAATTATCTTCATTATTGATTAATCTGCTGATTATTATCTCGATTAACAGATTAGTCCAATAAATAAAGCCCAAGTTGACATATTCAAACTTTACTTTTATAGAAGAGCAGGAAATATTTACACTGAAGAAGCTGCAACCAGTGAATCTTTGACAGCTTCTGATTTTAAAAATGACTTAAAACGATTCGTTGACTATCAAAGTTGTTGCTGATTCATTTTCTGTTGATCGATTAATCGAGTATTTCAGTTCTAAACAATATACACTCTGCAAAATAATGATTGTTTTCATTATCAACTAATGTTAATGATCTTTTGTAGTCTATAAAATGTAGAAAAAACATTTCCTCATGTTTTACCTCAAATAACCCCAAAAACATCCAGTTTACAAAAACAGAAAAAAGAGAAAAGCAACAAGTTCTCACATTAAAGGAGCTAAAACTAAATTTAAATTCCAGCACTTATTTATACATCAATTTTTCTTGACCGACTCTGAGAAAAAGACCAGCAACGGACAACACATTGCACAAAAACTAAAGTCTTCATATTTTGAAATGGGGTCTCCAGTTCCAGAGACTGGTGTCACCCAGGTTAACTAATGTAAATACAGTGTGTACTGTACTCTGCTGTACATGTGTGTTCCATCCTGACCCTCGCTTTCAGGACTCGGATCCGTCTTTCTAGCGGGCGAACCCCGGCATTATGATAATGACAACCTTACAAACCGCAGCGGCAACTAGCTACAGAGCTCTAAAAATACAGAGTGCCTCGAGTGTACAGCTGTTTCCAGGATCAGCTCTTCTTATAGAAACCATCAGGAGCTCCACCGCAGGACGCTGTCTTCAGGTCTGCCGTTACAGGGAGCTGAGGACCGCCTGTTGAGAGCAAAAGCTGCGCCGCTAATTTGTGAATACAAAGCTATTCTGGTGCCCGGCCACCGAGGCCTTGAGAGGGACAGAACATGAAGACTATTATCTCTGAGCTCCACTGAGCTCATTACAGGGCTGCAACATTATCACATTTGATCCAAAACAAAATCCAAAGAATGTTCAGCCATGGAAAGCTTTGACACGACTGAGAAGTTTAAACCACATCTGTCGTTTTTATGTCATCAGTCGAGGTAGAAAAGAGATAAAACACAAGCTTTCTTATTCCTTTAAAGACGTACTCATACATGACAGTCGACAACCAGCAGAAAAAGAGTGAAACCAAGAAACCAGACAGACCTCCATGGTTACAGAGGACATTTAAAGGGCCAGTGTGGGTTTAGGAGGAACTATTAGAGGAAATGTAACATAATATTCATATCTATGTTTTTATTAGCGTATAATCCCCTTAAAACTAAGAACCATTGTGCCCTTCATATCTACACAGGGAGCGGGTTCTCTTCACAGATTCCGCCATGTTTCACCGCCATGTTGCTACGGTAGCCCAGAAGGGACAAACCAAACGCTGACTCTAGAGAGAGCCCTCACGACTTTATGTTACCTGAAATATTGTAGTTTTTACTTCTCTATTATCTGACAGCTGGAGTTCACAGACTTTAGCAGATTAAGATTTTACAAACAAAACATATTATGATATTATAAAAGATAGACTAAATGATCCTACATTATATTATATTATATATAATATTATTATATTAAAATGTGCTCCGAGTCCACCAGCTGTAACGTATATAATGTATACATAGTATAATCATATAACTCTCTGAAAGTCACTTTTACTTTAATACTTGAATCCGTTTTTGCTGTTGATACTTTTGTAGTTTTACTGAAGTGAAATCTTGAATGCAGGACTTTCACTTGTAACAGAATATTTGTACAAAGCAGTAGTGCTACTTTTACAAAGGTTCAGTACTTCTTCCAGCACTGCATTTAATTAAGTGAAGTACAAAGCGTCTCAGTGAAATAACACTTCTCAGGTTCAGAGCTGCTCACAAACACAGGCCTTCATCTCGGGCAACAGCCTCATGGCTGCAGTTTTCCAGAAGGTACACAAAGTAGGCAGAAAGATGGCGGATTCTTTCAGCATTACTGACAGAAAGTCTCTAATAACGTGGCCGACCAGCTCTTCCAATGTCATTGTAAAAACGTCTCACCTGGAAGCGTGGCAGATCCGAGGGCTTGAAGTCGTTGGGGGAGCAGCCGCACCAGTCCACGATGTGCTTGTACTGGCATTTACATCCCAGTTTGCGGTTCCAGTTGGTGAGCCTCAGGTTGTTGTCCACCATGCTCTCACAGTGGGCGCTGTTCTCCAGCACGGTGTGGAAGAACGACTGCAGGTGGAGGAGAGAACAGAGAGACGGACGAGTTCAATTTCTAATCTACTAACAACATTAAACATCAAGTTTAAAACAAACATCACAGCTGAAAATAATGATCACTGATTCAGATTGGACTAATTTATATCTGTGGTTGTTTTAAAGGGCTATTTAGGATGAAATCTTTTATATGATTGTATTTTACTATATTTTATCATCACATTTCTGTCTAATTCTGAACTGTGGCAGACTCAGTTTGCTTGTGACTCTCTCATCATTGCTGCCTTGATGAAGAGATCTTTAATCTAAATAAGGCTTTCTTGATTAAATACAACCTATAAACTGCTTGGTTTTGTCCGACCAACCGACCAAAACACAAAGATATTCAATTTGCAATGATACGAGCAGAAAACCCTCGTATTTGAGAAGCTGAATTCAGTAACTGTTTGTGATTTTTACCTGATAAATAACTCAAAATAATGACTTGATTATCTAGGACCCCGTTTAGTCACTTCAGACGTCTTGGGCGGATCAGATATCTGACTGCATCCAAGAAACATACAAGAGGGAATAAACTGTTTCTTTAGAGACAATCTGTTTCTTTAGAGAAATGTGGATTTCTAAAGGAGAATACAGAAAGCTATGTTTGTATTCCTTACTTCAGTAAAACTAGTAAAACCACAATGGAAAAGTACTACATTACAAGTAATACTCCAGCATTAAAACACATTTACTTAAGGAACAGTACAGAAGTATTGTCATCAAAAAACTCATGATGCAGAATAATATAAAATTTATATAATTGGATTAAAACTATTTATGCATTAATGTTGCAGCTGGTAAAGTGGAGCTCATTGTATTCCCTTTATACACTGCTGGTAGTTTCATCTATAATAATACATCATCATTTATTACTTGACTTTATTTTGTTTTATTAATCTGAATAATGTATATAAAGTCGTCAGATGAAATGAATGTAATGAAGTAAAAGTACAATATTTGTAGCGGAGTAGAAGTATAAAGCAGAATACAATGAGAATACTCATTTAAAGTAAAAATACCTTGAAATTGCCAGAGACACAATCACTATTGATGTCCATGTCCTCCTCTAGGGGACACCAACAGAGAGTCTGCAGGGTTACTCCAGTGCATACGTGTGTGTGTGTGTGCGTGTGTG